CATCTCTCTCTGCTCATTTTTAAAATGGGGAGGATTGGGGTGTGGCTCAGTGGTAGAGTGCTGGCCTAGCATGCCTGTGGCCCTGGATTTGATCCCTAGCACTGCAAAAAATAAAATAGGGAAATAATAGTACTCACTACAAGGATTGTGAGGAGTAAATGTGATAATATTATTTTCACAGTACCTGACACATAGTAAGTACTTGGGGAATACAGACTATTATAGAGCTTTTTATCACCATTCCATTGTTAATGTCATGATACCGAGTAACTTTAATCCTGAAGGTTTTTGTAAAGACCCATCCTAACACTACTTTCTATTCCCCTAGAAGATATATAATAAACCATCTAAAATATATGTGTACTCTAGTCCTTTAATTATTTTTTTCTAATAATAAAAATATAGGTAACACTTTTCAAAAAATGATCCATAATCTCAAAACACTAAAAGATTGTTTCTCATATTTTAATAGTTTCAGTATTTTTTATGTTCAGAGGTTGTAGGTGAATATCTGTATAAGGTCCTCCTAAGTGATTATTTTGTTGTCTTCAAACTTGATCTTTTAGCAGACAGTTTTTCATGAAGAATGTACTCACCAGATTTGAGGTATTCAAAAGTAGTGAGAATGCACTAAGAGGATAAAAGTTTCAGTTCTGATTCCAGGACTTCTAAACTGTGTGTCATTGAGCCTCCAAATCAGTGATCTGTGAAATGGGAATTATATGAATGCTATCTCTTTCCCTGTTGTAAAGCTGTGCAGATACAGAAGAGGGATTATTATTTGTATTGCCCAAAGTCTCTATTCTCTTAAGGCACTAAGTCCCTTCTTAAATGTGTATACTATTCCCTATTTCTTTTTAGTTATAGGCTCTAAAAACTCTGCTTTGCTTCCCTCCTTAAAGTTCTTATTTCATCTCTAGGCATTTTTCCTCTTCCAAGGTTGGCCAAAGGGTAGGATGTGGTCTTCTTAGTGAGCCATCTCCTCCTATCCCTTGGAGGCACTGTTTACTTTCATAAAACAAGCAGATCATTATAGGAAATGCCAGTTGGGTAAAAAAAATACACTTTGGAACATGACAGAAGTACATAATCTTATCAACTTTCTGTGCCCATGGTCTTCTGTCCTACATATGGGAGACATTGACCACTGGAGATGTGGCTCAATTCTCCTTTATTTCCTTCTGCCCCTAGAAGAAAGACCAGGAAATATAGCTTCTAAACCCAAAGGCTTGAAGAGCCAAACCAAGCAGAATTATAGTTACCTTAAGTATGTAATTTTCATTTTTGATGCCCTCCTGTCTGGGTGATTCACATCTGAATGGTCCAGACCATACGTACTATAACTTCCTTTGCATATTTTCTCACTACTTCCCTCACTGACAGCTTCTGTGCTTCTGTCTGGTCTCTCCTAGATACTTAGAGAAGCAATCCTGACTCTATAAAGTAAGAGGTTTATAAAGCCCTCTTTTTTCAAAAACAGCTTTTTAAAAAACCTTCAGTGGGCCCTAATTCCTTATTTTTAAATTTTACCTGACTAAACATTGAAGATACAAAATTTTTAAAAGGGAAGTTTTTACATCTTCCCAAAAACTTTTTCTGTAGTCACTCCTACCGACATGTAGAATATAGATGAGAATTATCTAATGACTATTTGGCTATTCATTTGATGACATTTGGCTATTTATTCTTTGATTCAGTGGGCTCCAACCAGAAATGGCTGAGACATTCCTATTTGTCATCTATTCCCTTTGCCATTTGACTAAAATATTTCTAATGTAGATAGGGCAAGAGATATTTTTTAAAAAATATTTTTAGATATTAAAGCTTTAGGAGATAAGCAGCTGTGGTTCTGGATGTGGCTCTAACTTTGCTTATTCCCATGGTCATATATTCATTTACTCACCAGACATTAGGTCATAGTATGTAGGAGATACTCTGCTAAAAGAGAGAGGAATAAAAGTAGGTAACTATGGATGAGCTTACCCGGTATTCAGAAAAAGAGATAATACTTCTTTGTGCCAGGTTCTGTTGTAAGCACTTGAACACTTACTAACTTTATAAATCACAACAACTCTGTGAACTATTATTATTCCCATTTTACAAATCCTCACAACAACTCTATGAACTAATATTATTCCCATTTTACAGATGAGAAAACAGACACAGAGAGCTGGGAAACTTTGCCTAATGTCTTACTATTAAGAAGTCTCAGTACCAGAATTTGACCTCAGGCACTCACTCCAGAACCCACACATTTTATCATACTTCAGTAACAATATGGAGTGTACGAGAAGGAGAAGTGGCTGGCAAATGATGAAGATCCAGGTTTAAGAGGTATTTCTGGAGTAGAATTTGTTGTGGCTGATGACCAGTTGAAGCGAGAGAGAGAGAGAGAGAGAGAGAGAGAGAGATCAAAGTTGAGTGACCCTCAGATTTTTAGCTTGATAGATTAGCTTGATGATGATGCTAGAAATAAAATATGTAAAAATAAATGAGCATTTTGTGAGCTTATTGAGTATAAAGGACCTGTTGGATACCTAGGAGATATTCTGAGCCACAGCTCAAGATTCTGACCATCAATAATAAGGAGGGCTGGAGATTGTAAATTCAGGAGCTGAGTGCTTGCCTAGCATGCACGAGGCCCTGAGTTCAATCCCCAGCACCAAAATAAACAATAATGATAGTAATGGTTGTGGTGATGGTGATGAGAGTGGTTAATAAGGACTTTTTTATATGCCAAGAATTGTTTTGAGTGCAGTTATATGTACTTAAAGACAATATGATTTTTCCCCATTCTTGGCAGGTAAAGAAAACGAGCTTCATTGAGGCTAAATAGTTTTTCAATGTCATTCTTCTTCCTCAGTCCTGTTTTCTCTTAATCCATAGGAATTAAAGAAAACCAGATAGAACATGGCTCTTGTAAATTGTCCTGGCTAGAAAAATGAGGCTTAGTCAAGGTGTTGTGACTTCAGGGGGACAACTGAATTCTCTCCACATTCTCCTATAAATTTTCCTGGTAACAACAAAGCAAGTTCCAGCTTTTTTGTTTCCCTCCAACAATGTAGACTATATAAGAATTATCTGACCTAACACTGTTTTCTATCATCACACTCCATTTTCCCATTCCAGGAATCAGAAAATGCTTTGCTGTCCTCTCTGACACCTCTTATTTTGTAGTTAATCATTCAACAGGCATCTCTCTTATATGCCCTCTCTAATTTTCTTTCATTCTGTCCTACTGTTTTCCAATTCCTGTGCTTGAGAAAACATATTTCCTTGCCTTTTTCCTATCATTATCATCAAAAACATTCATAAATTTATTGAACATCTAACATGCATCAGGCAATATTCTAGGTCCTTGGAATATATTAGTGGAAAAAGCAAGGAGCTCAAATTATTTTGGAAATTATAATTTTTCTGAGTTCTGGACTCAACTGTTCTTATTCTTTCTCATTTTTTGCTATACTTCTTTCTCCATTATACCACCCCTGAGAAGTTCCATAGAAGCCTTAGGGCTATGCAGAAGATAGTTCAAAATCCTTTCATTCTAGACAGATGAGTTGAATCTTTTTTTTTTTTTTTTTTTTTTAAAAAAAGGCCTTGTCAAAATTGTGAAATGGTTCTTGTGCATCAGACTACCAGGACAGGTTTCTGCTACATTTTTCTGGCTCTCCACATGTCTGGTTGGCCCAGAGCCCAAAATCATAGTAATGTTCCTAGTTCAGCCTTGGACACACAGTATCTATGTTTGGTGAATGAATGGAGGTTATGTGTACAGTTCTCATATACCTCCATCAAAGATGTCATGAATTTTTAAATAAAATTGGACATATGGTGCTTTAAAATGTTAAGTTTCCGGGGCTGGGGATGCTCGCCTGGCATGCGCGGGGTGCTGGGTTCGATCCTCAGTACCACATAAAAATAAAGTTGTTGTGTCCACTGAAAACTAAAAAATAAATATAAAAATAAAATAAAATGTTAAGTTTCCTTGTATGTTTCTGCTCTAATTAGGGATGATTTTCTCAATTCTTGACATTCAACAAATGAAATAATTGTTTTCAGGTTCCTCCTTTACATTTTTGTGTTACAATATTATAATTTTGTATCCTTGTTGATTGTGTATTTGTTGTATTTAACTGAATTATGTTTTAAAAGGCTATTGTGATGTGACCTTTAAAATTAATACTTCTGTGTATTTGACATCCCAAACAATTAAGATTTATGAACTTTTGAAATGTAATCAGGTCATAGGCGAGGGAAATAATTGTAATTGACTTGGGAACACTTAATGTGATCTTATATCTCACTGATCAAGTCATAAGTGAGTTGTGGATTTGGCTTCTTTACCGTGTTTTTCTCTCTAGGGAGACTGGACTATATACAGATCAAAGAAAATCTAGTTGAAGAAGAGAACTTGATAGGTGCTTTAGGAAAAATTGTGATGTTTCAAGGCAGCTGAATGAGGCTACCAACTCTCTCATTTCATAAAAGGAATAGATATCTAAAGAGGAAAGGGAAGACTAGTTTTTATTAGCCCCCCCTCCCCATTTGCACATTTAAGAGAGGTAAACAGATAAAATACTTCTCTGGAGAATATTTAATCCCAATGTATAGATATTTTAATTGGGTCAATATCCATACAGGAGCTTAGAACTCAGGAGAATAGGAACTAGATCAGGAGGAGAGGATTCTGGAAATTATGTAGTTATGCTGATATTCCTATGAAGTTGAACTGGTTGGAGAGGTTGGAAGAAACAGATTACCTGTATGCAGAATTTGGGGCAAGTGGGAGTCTAATATGTTGGGGACACGTCAGGGCTATCTTGATGAGTATAATAAATCTAAATGTTTTAATGACTTCTCTCTAAGTATCTATTAAATCCTGAAAAAGTGTATTCTCAGAACACATATAAGGGTAACCAAGGATAAGTGGCATACTGTATGTTCAGAGTGGGTTAGGTCTTGTTCTAAAAGTTATCTTTCCCTTGTATTTTTTCCAGATATGGATCAACTCATAAACAACTTGGAAGTCCAACTTAATTCAGAAGGTGGCTCAATGCAGGTATTCAAACAGGTCAGTTATCAGGTACTAATATTGAGCCATAAGAGTGTTGAGGACCAGTAATTATTACAGAGCTGAAGCTCATTTTTTCTTCTAACATGTTTGGAGTCTGAGACAGGAAGGAGGAAGATAGATTTCCAGGAAGTATTTGAATGCCTGAAACTAATGCCTTAGTTTCAACTATAGAGTAGATCTGACCTAAAAGAAACAACCACTGGAATCAAGGCTATAAGAACAATATTAGACCTTTGGTAGACCATAGCAATGATTTATCTAGCACTATCTCATATTTCAGGTATTGTGAAGATTAAATACATTCTCTTTTTTAATCTCCACAATAATCCTGTTGAATATTGTATTAGCCAGGGAAATAGAGGCAATCAAATGTATATATATATAGATAGATACCTAGTAAATATATAGAGATTTTATGAAATTGGCTCACGTGCTTACAGAGGCATGACGAGTCCAAAATCTGATGGGATAGGCCAGCAGACTGGAGACACAGGAGGAATTGCAGTTTGAGTCCAAAAGCAGACTGCTGGCAGCAGATGTCTATCCACATTATGAAGGTTAATGTACTTTACTCAAAGCCAGTGATTTAAATGTTAGTCTCATCAAAACTGAACAATCAGTCCATCAGTCAATCAATCACAGAACCATCTACACCAATGTTTGATCAAATATCTGGCACTGTAGTCCAGCTAAGTTGGAACATAAAATTAACCATCACTATTCTCAGGGTTCCCATTTTACAGAAAAGAAAACAGGCCTTGAACAAGGATTCAAAACATTATTTTTTATAGATAAGCGTTCTGTGTTATATATTGAAGTTCCATCTTGCTCACAGTTAAATTTTAATCCACTGTATAATGAAACCCAAATACAGTCAAAATTATCCTTGAAAGTTGCCTATAAATTTGAGTATCCAATTTTGTGTATACAGTATTTATCTGTTTTTTTCTCATTCCCAGATAAACTATATGGATTATTTTTGGTTTTAGGAGTCATATTTATCTTTTATTTATCATTAAATATTTGGCCCATGGTATATAATTGAATGTTACATATATATAGCTGAGACTCCTTTGTAGTATTTTAGCGATATTAAACTCAATTTAATGTCTTGTTTACTTAGCTGTTGTCATTTAGAAACTATTAGCACATAAAAACTTGCTAATTATTGCAAAACATCTGCTAGTTGCTGGAGTTTAGTGATAGTTAATACCAAGAGGAAGGTGAGTTTTTGTATTGTTAGATAAAAATATCTACTGTATGAATGTTGTCCAGCATGCATTGCTACTTTATTTTACAATCTCAATGTGCTTAACTATGATTCCAGATATGTTTTTCCATGCATTATTTAAGTATAGTAAAATTCCAGAATTTGAAGGGACTTTGAAATTGGTTCAGTGTGTAGAAAATTCTAGATAGTAGGTGATTAAAGCACTTTGTTTGTATTCTGCCATTTTCAGGATATATTTACATTTAGTAAAATAAGATGCTTGTAGTACATAGCCATAGAACACTAGCCATGTCTTAGGGCACAAAGGCTAGGGGCTGGTGCTCTATAACCACACAATGCTAGCATTTTCAAAAATGCCTCCTGGTTTGGTTCATTATATGGTTTGTTTATGTCACAAACTATGATCTGTGATCGAATGCCTTGCTGAGAGCATATGTACTGCTCTCCCTTCTCTGAATTCTTATATCAACATATCATTACCAATGAGCACTTGGTTGTCACCTGCCCTTTATTTCTAGTTTCTAATTATTTCCTAGAAGTTGGATTTCTTGATTGAAATGTATGAACAGCTTTAGGGTTATTTACTGTTGTTAACATTTTGGAACATATTTTTGCATAGTTTCATATTCCCCCCTCTTTATTTTCTCTCTCCCCACTCCCTTCATCCCTCTCTCTCTTCCTCTCTCTCATGTTTTCTTACTTTTGAAAGTAAGCTGCATCAGTAAATTTTGCCCCTAAATAATGTAGCATGCATCACCTGCAAATAATGACATTCTGCTACATAGATACATGAAAGAAAATGAACAGGATTTCCATAATAAGATCTAATTAAGTCATACATTTCTAAAAGTTTCTCAGTGCCACCTTTTCTTACACTGATTTTTTTTCTGCTTGGACTCTGCCTCAGTCAGCCTAATTTACCAACCCCTACTACTTTTTTTAAGGTCCAAATTCCAATTTTATCTTTTCTGTAAAACTTTAACTGACAACCCTAACTCACAAATCTCTAGTGCACTTGCACCCCTGAAATGCTAACTTTTTGTACTTTCATGTAGCTCTGCTAGTTACTTGTTCTCCATTGTGAACAAATTCATATAAATATCTTACTAGTGATATTTTTCAACTATTAATTTACCACCTTCAAAATTTTTATCCTGTCTCTTGCCATCAATATTATTTATGTTTAAAAATCAACTAACTATCCAAATAAATAAGTGCATCATAAATAAAGTCCTATATTAGTTTTGTCCTTAGCAATCTGGAGAATTATGGGATTTACATGAGGTATTAGTTTCCTAGAAATCCTGCAGCAAATTACCACAAACTTGGTGGTTTAAAACAAGAGATCCTCACTATCTTGGAGGCCAGAAGTCCAAAATCAAGGTGTTATCAGTGTTGTAGTCCATCAGAAGTTGCTAGGGGAGACTCTATTCATTATTTCTTCCAGCTTCTCATAGATAGGGCATTTCTTGGATTGTGGCCCCATCCCTCCAATGTCTGCTTGTGTTTTTACATTACCTTCTTCTTTTGTATCTATCATTCTTCTGTGCTCCTCTTTTATACATTAGTCATAGAATTTAGATGATACCCAGATAATTCAGGATGATGGCCTCAAGATCCTTAATTATATCTACAAAGAAAACTTTTCCAAATAAGGAAAAGGTTTCTAGAGATGAGAATGTGGAAAAATCTTCTTTGGGGTCCACCATTCAGCCTACTACAATGTGTTAAATTTTTATTAGAATGAGATTACTTCATCCATATATCATCCAGAAATTTTCTCAGATGCTTTGAGAAAGAAAAATTGTTTTATCTTATTGTTTTTCATTTTCCATAGTTTCATGCTGAATGTTTCCATATTTTATATGAAATACTAAATAAATACCTAATGAAATAATATAGGCATACATGTAAATATATATATATATATATATATATATATATATACACATACATACATATGTACATTTCTGATCTCCTTTTCCATAGATGTGGCTGCTACTTTCTTATTCCCTTAAGATTGCCTAGTTCATCAGTTTGTACAAATTGATGAATTCTTTTGTCCTACAGTGCTTTATTTCCTGATGCTGTTGAGATGGTGGTGATGTAAGATTCAAAATTGCTCTTGATTTAGTTTAAGTCTAGCTTTCTAATAATATCCATCTCCATCCACCTCTATTTTCTCTAATACTAACATGCATGATGTCCTTAATGTAGAAGGTTTAGAGTTTCAGAGAGTTAAACTGATTTTTGACCTAAACAATGAATGTGCACAATATATGTGTGTATGCCCACACATGTGCACCCAGGCATGAAAATGATTAGTCTACACCCAGAGAAAAGCTAGGAGAGACCTGTGTACAAAAACAGCATTCATCTTTCTCTTAGGGAGGAGTCTGGGCTTTATCTTGTTACCATGACAACGCTCCTTACTCTCCTTTCCACCTACTGTGCTGTCTGAAGTATTTTGTTCTTTCATTTTCTTTCTAGTCGTGCCTTCCCACTTTAATGTTCCACATCATGGCTGTTTCAAATAAATGAAAGGTGGAAACTTTGTTTTTAATAGTTGATTTTTCTGACCATTCATCACCTAAGGCTTTTCATCGCTATCTTTATCAAATACCCAAGAGCTTAAATCTTTGTGAAATTGACCACCTTTTCTTTGGATTTCTTTCTAGAATCTTAAGTGCCTTTCTCTATCACCTTTGGTAATATATCAATAAAGATTTTTTTTTTTTAAATTGCCAACTCAGATTGGCTTTAAAAAACTGGATTAGGATTGTGGGAATTTGAGGATGAATACTGTGTAAATTAAAGCTTCTCTCAATTTTCTCCCAAGTTTCTGTCTTTTTTTTCTCATGCATGACCTTCATAGACTCAAAAATTCTAGAAAGCTGTAGCTTCAGGTTTTAAAATAGAAAATGGGAAAAGTAGCCATTATCTTTCTTGAAGAGTGATAATGATTGGCTAGAGAACACTTAAAAATTGGAGCCATCCCAAAGTATTTGTATTTGTCAAGTTTTTGTTGCTGTGACAAATACCTGAAAAAAAATAAAAAAGGCTTAAAGGAGAAAAGGTTTATTTGGGCTCATGGCTTCAGAATATTTATGCCATTGCTTGGCTACAGCAATGGCTCCATTGCTTTTAGGCCTTAAGCAAGGAGAAACATCATGGCAGGAGGGCATAGCAGAGGAAAGCTATACACCCCATGGCATCCAGGAAGCGGAGAGAGAAGCAGAGTCCCGGGACAAGATATAGATCCCAAGGGCACAGCCCGAAGGACCTACATCTTCTAACTAGCTTCCACTTCCAACAGCTTCTATGACATCTCAATAGTCAATTTATCCATGGATTAATCCACTGATGAGTTCTGAATCCTCTTGAGCCAATCACTTCCTACAATTTCCACCTCTGAACATTGCTCATTGGGGATCAAGTCTTTAACACATGAGCCTTTGGGGAACAATCTATATCCAAACTGTAACAACATTGAAGATGAAAAATGTGACTTAGAGTGAAAAATCTGATGGCAGAGCTTTAAATCAATGCTCAGATTAACTTTCAAAGTTAATATTCAATGAATAGTAGAATAGGGAGCCAACCTGAATCATCTTAGTGAGAATTTTTCTTTTTTAGGATGGAGATACTGGGAATTATTCAGAGGCACTCACCCACTGAGCCACATCCTAGTCCTATTTTGTATTTTAGTTAGAGACAGGGTCTCAATGAGTTGCTTAGTGCCTCACTTTTGCTGAGGCTGGCTTTGAACTCCCGATCATCCTGCCTCAGCCTCCCAAGCTGCTAGGATTGCAAGTGTGTACCACCATGCCCAGCTTAGTGAGGATTCTTAAAGTCACCTAAGTTCTAGGGTTGAAAACACACCCATTCTTTACAAATTATGTCTTCTTCAGAGTCTTTAAGTATAATGCACTATGTGGAAAGACAAAGGAAAGCACATAGTGTGTTTTTTTAACAAGAGGGATGCTTATAGTGATAATATGGAATAAATCAGTGTAATTAGGATCCTATGAAAATCATTTTAATCATGTTGAAAAGAGAATCCTCAGTGCACACAAAAACTTCACTATGTGACTGTATAAATATTGAAAACTTGTTTTTAAGCCACAAAGCCAGGAATAGTAAGAATAACCTTGAGAGCTGCTTTCGAGAGTAATCTGTTTTGTTGAGGAAGCTTGCTTGCAGAAGACAGTATTGAAACAGAAAATACTTGCTGTGGGCTGGATTCACTTGGATATAACAAGCACTCTTGAAAGTGATATGTACAGAAGGAAAATGTGATGATATGCTTTGAGGAATTTTACTATTAAAACACAGAAACCCAAACAACTAGCCTTCTAACATTTCTATCAAAGTCATGTGATGATGGCAGGAGAGGGGAATGATTGAAGTCCTGTGGCAGCCTGGGTTTTGGTCTGAAAGACTGCAAGGCAGACTTAATCTATAAAGGGCAACTCAGGATGGCTTATTAGAGCAGGAAAATAATATCTCATCAAGGCAATAAGAATAACCTATTTGTTCTTCAGTTTCTATACTTTCATGAGTTAGTTTCCATTTTGGATCTCCCTAAATTATGTGTTTTCAGTGAAATGAATAACTGTAAATCAAATACCAACTAGGCACCAGGCCTTGAACTAATACCATTATTGTAGGTAGCCCTCAGCATCTTGGAAATGGCCTTTGTTTGGCAAAAGAGAGAAAAGTTACCAAAATAATTTTCACTTTATATATTTAGAGTTTGGCCTCATAAAGTAAAATCCAGAAAGTCCCTAATCATTTAGCTACATCTTTTCTTGATGTTATTAGCAGATTGTGTCTATTTATATACCTGCACCCACAATACACATTCTTATAGAAAATAATATTATACCTAACTACTTAAGCTTTTTTTTTTTTTTTTTTTTTTGGTACTGGGGATTGAACCCAGGGGTACTTAACCGCTGAGCCACATCCCCAGCCTTTTTTTATATATTTTATTTAGAGATAGGGTCTGTCTGAGTTGCTTAGGGTCTTGCTAAATTGCTGAAGCTGGCTTTGAACTAGTGATCCTCCTGCCTCAGTCTCCCAAGCCGCTGGGATTACAGGCATACATCACCGTGCCCTGCTCTTTTTAAACTCTATTTCTTAATATCATTGACAGCTGTGATAGACTATGGAAACAGAAACCCTTCCTGTTCTCTTTTAGAGATTCCTTGGATTTAGCCTCTTTTATCTGGGAATAAAACAAAACAAGTGGGAAATGTAGGAAAAATAAAAACTTAAATTGGTTTGGGGGATTCAGTGGACTGAGATTTTTATGTCTGGCAAAACCATTCTTGATATTTTCTTCTCTCTTCTTGCTACACCCCACAAATACCACTGCCTACAGGATTCTACTGCCTTCCCCTTCCCCAGATGAATTGAATCCACCCATTAAGGATGGATTATATTAGAAGTATATGCAATACTACGAAAAATCACAAAAATTATGTCCTGGATGAGTAGACTAAAGCAAGGGTTTAGATTACAAACTAGGCCTGAGTTGAATTAGGGATTTTAAAATCAAGAACCAAATAGTGTCTCAGCATAGCAAAAGGTAAAAGTAGGCAACATGCTGGTTAAATTCTGAAGATAAAGCATGGATGCTTTGGGTGCCCTTTACCTCATTCCCAGCATGCTCTGAGGGTTTTTTAAATAAAGTCAGAGCAAGAGAACAGTACCTCCCCAGACCCTTCACCTTCCTCTGAATTAAGGCCCTTATGATCTCAGCTAAATTTAAAAATTATTTATGAACATAATATTATTATCAAACATTACATTTTTTTAAATATTCCTTAGTTATAGATGGACACAATACCTGTATTTTGTTTATTTAGCTTTTTGTTTATGTGGTGCTGGGTATTGAACCCAGTGCCTTAGGAGTGTTAGGCAAGCGCTCTACCACTGAGCCACAACCCCAGCCCCACACATTACATTTAACAATAATTCTTTAATATCCAACATCCAGTCAATATTCAGAGTTCTCCAAATGTCTCATAAATATCTCACTAAGATGTTTATACTTGCTTTCTTTTTGGTCCTTTTGTGTCCAATCTTTTCTTTAACACTACCTTCATTGAGGAGCTAGTTAAATCTCATAGAGGGCAGGGATATAGCTCAGTTGCATGCCCAAGGCCCTGGGTTCAATCCCCAGCACCACACACACACACAAAAAAAAAAAAAAAATCTCATAGGAATAGTTCTGCCATATCACTCCACTCTTCAAACAATTGTCTTCAACCTTTCCTTGAACTCAGCCTTCCCTAATCTTCCAAATATAAAACACCAAAGGATGTTTCTATTTTATATAAAGGATGCATTCTTGAACATCTCTCATAATTTAAAACTATTATGACTCAGAATATCATGGAGACTTGTTGTCAAGATCCAGAGTGCTGCTTGGCAATGGCATACATATTTCACAGTATCTTTTGATGTTTCAAATTACAGAATTCTTAGAAAGGTTTTAGTTAGGTTGGAGCTCTACATTGTTTTATATTACATACAGTGGTAATTTATTAGTATTTAAAAAATATTTCTTTACTGACATAGAACATAAAATTTTACATAATAATGGGGTACCATGTAATGTTTCAATACACATCTGTTGAGTCATGTTTAAATCAGGTTAAACATATCTATCTCCTCAAATATTTAGTATTTCTTAGTTGTGAAATTTTTCACTCCTTTCTTTCAGCTTTTTGAAATGCTTTATTGTTATCTAGTCACCATAATGGGCAATAAATAGCCCAGAGTCTCTTGTTCCTATCTAACTGTATCTTAGTACTCATTGTTCAACCTTTCCCATCTCTCCCCTACCACTGTCCCCAACCTCTGGTAGTCACCTAGAATGGTAGAATCTCTAAACTTCTGTGGAATAAACTCTTAGATTCCACATATGAATGAAATCATGCAGTACATATCTCTCTGTGCCTGGCTTGTAATCTCCAGTTCCATCCATGTTGTTTCAAATGACAGGATTTCATTCCTTTTATGAATGAATACTACTCCATTGCTATATGTACAGCATTTTCTTTATTCATTCATTAGTTGATGGACACTTGGGTTGTTTCCATTTCTGGGCTATTGTGTAGTGCTACAGTGAATATGGGTGTGCAGGTGTCTCTATGACATATATATTTCATTTTCTTTAAATGTATATGCAGTCATAGGCTTTTGTATTTTTTAAATACAAAACAATTTGGAAGTTGGACGATTTAATTTTTCATATAATACAACTAACTATACTGCATTGATATTCATTAAACATATTTGTTTGTTATATCTCTGCAGACAAGAAACATCTTTCTTACCTCTTTCTGCCTAGAGAAATCCTATTATTTTTAAAGCTCATCTAAAATGTCACTTCCTCTATGAAGTTTTCCCTGTCTAGATAAAATGAACCATTCCTTTTTCTTTTTCCAAAATACTTTGTTTATGTGTCAATCACATTTATGGTATAATTCATAAGATACTTGCATTATTCTATACTAACACACTATTCTATGTTAGTATGAACTCCTTAGCTGTACCTTCTTTATGTATGCTGTCACTGGACTTGGCATAATGCTTATAGTACATGCACAGAAAGTATCGACTTTAATTAATATTGCAGGATTATTGTGAAAATTAAATGAAATGATTTCTATCAGTTACCTGATATAGTACCAGTACTTACTAAAGCTTAGCAAACTTTTTCTCTTTGGTGTATTTGTACCTAATTTTCCCCAACACTTTGTGCTGGGGGAGGGGCACATGTATTTTGTTGTACTGGGAATTGAACCTAGGGGCACTCTGACACTAAGCTATATCCCTAGCCCTTTTTATTATTTATTTTGAGGCAGAACCTTACTAGAGTTGCTGAGGCTGGCCTGAAATTTGCAATCCTCCTGCCTCAGCCTCCTGAGACACTAGGATTATAGGTATGTGATTGCACTCAGCTATATTTTTTCAGTGAGAACAGAGATTTTTTTCTTTTGTTTCTCACATGTCTCTTTAGAATACTTACAGTATTTAGCATCTTTCATTTGATTATTTATTTTAGGTCACTGGTCCTGTTCAGATCAGAGATCCCACTGACACAGCTGACGGAAGTAATATGACATCTCCACCACTCCTGGATGCGAGCCCCATGGAGAACCCAGCCCTATTTAATGATATCAAGATTGAGCCCCCAGAAGAACTTCTAGCAAATGATTTCAACTTGCCCCAAGTGGAACCAGTTGATCTCTCCTTTCACAAACCCAAGGCTCCTCTCCAGCCTGCTAGCATGTTGCAAGCTCCAATACGTCCTCCCAAGCCACAATCTGCTCCCCAGGGCCTTGTGGTGTCCACTTCAACATCTGAAACCACCACTTCAGCAAACATCCCTACTATTCTGACTCCAGGTTCTATACTGGCCTCCTCTCAGGGGACTGGTGGCCAACAGATATTACATGTGATTCACACCATCCCCTCAGTCAGTCTGCCAAATAAAATGGGTGGACTGAAGACCATACCAGTGGTGGTGCAGTCCCTGCCCATGGTGTATACCAGTTTGCCTACAGATGGAGGCCCTGCTGCCATTACAGTCCCGCTCATTGGAGGAGATGGCAAAAATGCTGGATCAGGTGAGCATTAATGTTTCCCTTGTCCTCAGCCTTATTTTCCTCCATCTTTTCAAATCATTCTATCTCCTGCCTCTTTTCACCCCCTCCAATTATTCTTCCTCACTGCTTTAAGGATAGTCTTTCATAAACACTGTTTTTATCATATCTCTTTAATGCTTAAGAATGTATAAGAAGGCGGTGGCGCCTGTAATCCAGAGGCTTGGGAGGCTGAGGCAGGAGGACTGTGACTTCAAAGCCAGCCTCAGCAATGGCAAAGCGCTAAGCAACTCAGTGAAACCCTATCTCTAAATAAAAGAGCTGGGGATCTGGTTTAGTTATTGAGTGCCCCTGAGTTCAATCCCCCGTACCCTCCCCCAATATAGAATGTATAATGAGCCAGGTGTGGTTGTAACCCCACTGTAATCCCAGGGTCTCAGGAGGCTGAAGCAGGAGAATCGCAAATTCAAGGCCAGCTTCAGAAACGTAATAAGTCCCTAAGCTACTTAGAGGGACTCTGAAAAAAAAGGGGGGGGGGGGACAAATTTTTTTTAAATTTTTTACTTGTAGATGGACATAATGTCTTTATTTTTTTAATTTTTATGTGGCGCTGAGGATTGAACCCAGGACCTAGCATGTGCTAGGTGAATGATCTACCACTGAGCCACATACACAATTTCTACTTCTATGATACTTAGTTAACTTATAAGTTATAAGTATCATACCTTTTTTCTTTCCTACAAAATAGTATCTTTAAAATATTGCCATCTTTCCTGTATTTCACCTCATTGGGCATCTATTACCCCCCCCCCCTTTTATTTTTTGATTACCTGAATCATAAATATATGGGCCTTATTCCCTACTGAATTATAAATTCCTCAAGAATAATACTGTCTTCTTTTGTGTGTGCATGTGCCTTTCCAGAGACCTTAACACAGTGTTACATAGTAGTTATCTTACAACATATGATTTAATGAGCAAACAAATGAATATTTCCAGAAGAGAAATCATATGCTGTAATCTTTCTTTTTATTTAATTTTTAAGTTCAGAATTCATAAGGGTATAAATAAAGTCTCCTTTTCACCATTATCTCCCAGCAATGCTGTTCCCCTCCTAGAGAGGTATATCTATTTTAGTTTGTAATCAGGAATGATCAAAGAAAATTATATAGCCTCAGAGGTGGTACAAGATATTTAGCTTTACCACATCTGTAATATTATAGTCAGTTTTGTGCATTGTGCCTTAGGAAAGACATTTACAAATTGGGAGGATAATCAGAAGATTGAAATCAGGATGATAAGAGGATTCAAACCCATGTCAATTGTAAAGTTGACAATATTTAAAAGGGCCAAAGGGAAGAGATGTGGATGGAAATTATTAGGAACAAAATTTTAGCTCATTATAATAAGGAATTTTCAAGGAGTTCTATTCCTTTGAAATTCAATGTCCTGTGATCATTCCATCACTAAATGTAGAGGTTAAAAACCAACATACAAAGCATCAAGTTTCTGAGACTCTGCAGTACTTTTCTAAATAAAAATATTATTATAGAATAGTGTTAATTATGGTATTGATAAATATTCATAATTATCTTGTTTTTGAGGTATGATATCAGTTTCTGTATAAGAGGAGCCCAGAAAAAGGTAACAAACTTTCCCTGTGTGAAAATTTTCTGAGATAAGGCAGTCAGATCATCAAGGGGTGGTTTGAAGGAGCGTTGAATTCTTCCCCACCCCCACTCAAAGAATTCATCAATTCACCAGAGCCACCTTAAATAAACAAACTAAAATTTTTTTAAAGGTGTAAAATAGAGTTCCAAGATAAGGACATTAATTCAATGGCCTCCAAAATGGGGTGTTTAAACCTTAGGGAGGCACACAAAACAACTGGAGTGTAATAACAAATTACCAAAATTTATATTCTTACCCTTTTTCATGTCACTTTTTGTTTTTCATAATGTACACAAACTTTTAAGACACCAGTACATTTATATCACATTCACATACAGACACAGAGAGATAGACATGTACATATACTGAGATGTATGTTTAAAATGATTTAGTGATTAATAAAGTATAAAGACACCTGGACTAGCCAAATACTTCCTCTCAACTTATACCCACCCTCAGGTGGGTGTAAATTTTGAAGCTTTCAGTGGATCTGGGAGTCTATTGAGCACCTGACTGAACTTTGCTAGGAAATGAAAACAGCAGTGGTTGATAATAAGGAATGTTTAAGGGCTTCTCCCAACAGTAGCACAAAAGAAGAGTGCTAACATGTGTCAGGCATCTACTAGGTGCTAGGTACATGTTTTATTGCACTTATTATTTTCATTTAGGAGCATGAAGGCCAAAGGAGATGTTCAAACCTCTAGGATAATCCTAGAAATTATTTTAGAACAACCAGGGAACCATTCAGAGAATTCAGTTCAACAAACATGTTGAATCTGACTTTTCAACAGACCCTGTCCTGGAATCTGGAGATGGAGAAATGAATCATACTCAGATCCTATCCTAGAGAAATTCACATTCTAGTGGTACCAAAATAATTCTTACCACTCTTCTTTTAAAGGCATTTCTGTTCTTTGCTATGCTAAAATTTTATATATTATCATCTTTCCTCACATATACACTTCTCCCAGCTCTCCTTTTTCTTTATTTTTCTACTGGGGGGAGGCGGGCATTTCAGGGGATTGAACCCAGGGGCACTTAACCACTGAGCCACATCCCGAGCCTTTTTTTACATTTTATTTAGAGACAGGGTCTCAATAAGTTGCCAAGGCTGGCTTTGAACTCTCAATCCTCCTTCCTCAGCCTCCAGAGCCATTGGGATGACAGGTGTGCACCACCACAGCCAGCTTTATTTTTCTTTTTCACTGATACTTCTCAATATTGATCAAACTGAGAATCCTGAAAATGATTGTAGAGGCACATACATTCTTTCTGGCTCATACTGCTTCTTTGCTTTTAGTGAAAGTTGACCCCACCTCCATGTCTCCACTGGAGATTCCTAGTGACAGTGAAGAGAGTGCAATTGAGAGTGGATCTTCAGCCTTACAGAGTCTGCAGGGACTCCAGCAAGAGTGAGTACTTTTGTCTTTACTTCAAGTCTGTATCTTATGTGTATGTGTGTGTGTGTGTGTGCATGTGCTTGAGTGCATAGAGATGGACTTAATTTTCAGAAACAGGGTAAAAAAAATTGGCAATATAGGCAAACTGCCTTCCCAGAGAAGATATATGAGTTCATGTGCACACATGTGCATGAACACGTGCATAAAGGTTATGGTAGAGTTATATTCTAATTGTAGATCATTAATTTTACCCTTGAAAAAAATCTCCAAATTCCCCATAAATTCAGTTGTGTACTCTTTTTCTCTGTAAGTTTAAAACAACCTGACTTTCTAATGTTGAAACTAATTGGAAGTAATTGGTTTATGTTTAGCAACCATGTGTATGAAAAATGACACTCATCACGGTGAAATGGTTGCCCCATTTGGGAACACAACCACCCAAGGAAACGTTACCATTTCCCATGCTTTTTCAGGAACATACACTTCCTGAATAGAATGGCCTAGTTGAAAGAATTGCTTGCATTATTCCAATTACTTCTTCACTTGTAGAGCTAACATTAAATTTGCATAAATTAAAAACTGGTATGAGGTAGAACCACTTTAATAAACTCTGTTTCTTTAGATTCTACTTTAAAGTCATTCTTTGGCCTATCTCTCTCTTTCTTTGCTCAGACCAGCAACAATGGCCCAAATGCAGGGGGAAGAGTCACTTGACTTGAAGAGAAGACGGATTCACCAATGTGACTTTGCAGGATGCAGCAAAGTGTACACCAAAAGCTCTCACCTGAAAGCTCACCGCAGAATCCATACAGGTCTGCCTGCCCCCAATTCAACTCCAAAACTCACTTTGTCTCTCTCTCTCTCTCTCTCTCTCTCTCTCTCTCTCTCTCTCTCTCACACACACACACACACACACACACACACACACACACTCACAGAGAGAGAGAGAGAGAGAGAGAGAGAGAGAGAGAGACTTACACACATGAATCTTTGAGAGCTAGGAAGAGAAGGAAGTCTTGAGGCAAAGATGGATTCATTTGGGGGCTGGAGTGGTGGTTCGTTAGTAGAGTGCTTGCCTAGCATGTATGAGGCACTGGGTTCAATTCTCAGCACACCATATAAACAAATAAAATGGAGGTCCGTTGACAACTAAAAAAAAAAATTTTAAAAAGAGATGGATTCATTAATACTCATGGACAGGCCCAACTCATGGTTTTAACCTCCATGTCTTATTCATGTTCTATGACAACATTTATAAAACGAGACTAGCAAAACATGAAACCTGGTTTCTTATGAGTAGTCATCCTTCCTGGTGAGCACCCATGGGTCTTTCTAATTAAGAAGCCATAACACTGAAGCAAAAATTAAGGCAACTAAAACATTATTACCTCCTTTGTGACTAGGGTCCCCAAAATTTTAATGAGCATGGAAAAGCACAAAAGCAATTTAAACTTAATGATATTAAAGAAGGCTTTTGAAGCTCAGCTCTGTACATTAACCTATAATTTATCTTTGTTTACATCTGAAGAAAGATGCACCTAAATAATTAAAGCAGACTGGGTAAGGATTGTGTCAAAGGGGACTCCTGCTTCATTTGAAGGACAGTTGCCACCCTACTACAACTGAGTATTAGGAAATCTCCTAAGTTTAAATCAAGGTTTTTTTTTTTTTATTTGAAGAATCTTAGTTGTTGGTGGTTTTTTTTGTTTGTTTGTTTATTTGTTTGTTTGTTTTTTGGTACTGGGAAGTGAATCCACAGGTGCTTTACCATTGAGCCACATCCTCAGCCCTTTTTTGTATTTTATTTAGAGACAGGTCTCATTGAATTACTTAGGGATTTACTAAGTTGCTGAGGCTGGCTTTGAACTCGCAATCCTCCTGCCTCAACCTTCCAAGCCTCTGAGATTTCAGGTGTGCACCACCACACCTGGCTAAAATGTCTTAGATTTTGACTGTTGACATCTAGTTCAAAAAATTTTTATAACATCAGCAATTCAAAGAAACCTGCCCAGAATCCAGACACAGAATGTCTGATCATTTTGTGTACTTTGCCTTAATGACTGCTCTCAGCAACCTCCAGCTCAGAATTGAGACTTAGACACTTTGAACAAAGAAGATGCCCTCTATCTATTGTGTTTTATTTGCTGTGTTAAAATTCATATAGAAGAGCCCAGAGCCTTAGTGACTATATCTTCAGATTGCATGGTACTATTTTTATTTATTGATGTTTTTGTTTGCTTCTTCAGCAGATGGATGTTAACTCCACTGACTATATATGATATTAAGTATTTAAATCTAAGTTTTCAACATGAAAAGGCAGAATAGTTTATTAGACTTCAATGTACCCTTCATCCAACTTTAAGAATTTTATTAATACTTGTCAATCTTGTTCCTTCTATAGTCCCACTGACTCTCCCACTTCCCATTATATTATTTTATTTTACTTTTTTGGGGATACCAGGGATTGAACTCAGGGGCACTCGGCCACTGACCCACATCCCCAGCCCTATCTTGTATTTTATTTAGAGACGGGGTCTCACTGAGTTGCTCAGCACAACACTTTTGCTGAGACTGGTTTTGAACTTGTGATCCTCCTGCCTCAGCCTCCTGAGCCACTGGGATTATAGGTGTGCATTACCACACCCAGCCCATTATATTGTTTGAAAACAAATTCCAAACATCCTGCAATTTCAGTCATAAATACTTCAGAATATGTTTTTAACAGGCACTTAAAATAAGCACAATAACATTAGCACATAAAATTTCTTAATATCAAGTTTCCCCTAAATATCTAATAACTATTTTTAAAAGGTTGTTCAAATCAATATCTAAATGAGGTCATTAATTGAATTTGGTTAATATTTCTCTTAGTTATCTTTTAATTCTTTAATTGTTCTTCCTCTTCTGTTTTATTTGTTGAAGAGCCCAGATCATTAGTCTAATCCAATGTTTCCATGTTCTAAGTTTCTCTGATTACATCAGTCATTTTAAATTATTCCTTGTTCCCCATAATTCCTACAAGCTGATAACTATACCTGGAAGATTAATCAGATTTACGTTAAGTTTTTGGCAACAATATATCAAAGGGTGCTGTGTACTTTCTATTGCATAGCATTTTGGCACATGCTTCTTAGTTGTTTCTGTGTGATGTTAAGATAGATCCATGGGTTTGGGTCTCTGAACTGTATTTTCTAGATAGTTATAAAGCTATAAAGCAGATCTGAAGGCAGTTGAATAAATTCATTTAATGAGAGGCAATATGGTATGGTTTTAGCATACATATACCGTAGATTTATCTAGATAGTAGGGTTCAGATGACCTTTCTCAATTTCAATTCATTCTTATACACTCAACAATACATCAGATCACATCTGTTCACATATTCCTCTTTAAGCCTTAAAATTGTTCCCCTTGAAGTTATTGAGGCAAAAACAATAAACAGGGGGTATAGAATGCCTGAGTTCTAATCCTATCTCTCCGACTATCCAGGGTCCTCAGCTGTAAAATGAAGGGGTTGAACTGGATGACCCTATCTGACTATTTTATCTGCAACCCTATAGCCTAAATTTCAATGTATCCTAGTGTTTACCCTTCTAGAAGGTCCCAGGAATTAACATGCAATCTTTCCATGGATATATAATCTCAAGGGTAATCTTGAAGGCACTTCTCAGAAGCAATTTAATTTGCCCTAACAACTTGAATCACAATAGGGTTAGCCATTTTGGGGAATGAGGTGGCAATTTGTTAATTCATCTCCTTCCCTGGACTAATGTAGTAGTACCCTAACTAATCTTCCTGCCTTAATGCTTTTCTCACTACAATTCATTCTTCAGACAGTAGTCAGAGGATTTTCATATGTTTTTGTTCTGTTTAGATTAAATGTAAATCAAACCATATAACTGCTTCTGCTTAAAATACTCCAGTGACTTCCCATCATACTCTGAATGAAATCCAAATTCCTTACAATATCCTAAAAGGCCCTGTGGAATGTGGACTCTGACAAGTTTCATCTTATGACACTTCTTATCTTTCATATCTCAGTTTAAATGTCTTCTGATCATGAAAGGCTTCCTTAAGCCTAAGCAGTATCCTCTCCCAATTATCAACATAAGAATACCCTATTTAATTTGTTGGTAGGAAGGATTTTTAAGTTGGGAAATAACATAATCAATCTGAGAACGGGTCAACTATACAAAAAAAAAAAAACTGAGGAAAGAGTGTTCTTAACTAGATGGAGTACAAAATCTGCAAGATGGGAATAAGCTTGCATTTTTCACATAACTGACAGAAGTCCAGCACAGCTAGAGCATACTGAGTGTGATGGTGGGTAGAGGAAGCATTGAGGTGCAAGAGTGGAAGGGAGGGAGACCTTTTAAGAAGCTAAGGTAGCAACCTAGGCCAAAAATGAGGACAGTCTGATTAGGATGTTGGCAGTGGAGGTACAGAAAATGAGATATATACATGATGATTGAGGGGACTCTGATGACTCAGGTTTCTGTTTGGGCCAGGTGGGTAGATGGAAGTGCCAGTTACAAAGATGGGTAGTTTGTCAACAATCACACAGCTAGTAAGCAGGAAAACTTCCTTGAAATGAAAACTTACTAGGTATCCTTTTCTCTATTGCTACTATTCTACATGTTCCTTGAGACTAAGGCAGTTGCAGAAATGCTTAATTCATTGCCTTCCAAAGATTGCAGTTGAGTCTTATTAGTTCGAGTTCTCAATCTCCAGTGGGGAAAATGTAACCTTTAAAATTTCCATATTTGGGCCACACTCCAAATCTGTTAAATCAGAAACTTTGGGTGTGACCCAGGTGTCAGTAATTTTTAAAGCTCCCCATTTTCAGTCAAAACTAAGCATCACTAACTTAAGGATTAATTTTATATGTGGAGAAACTATAGTATGGAATGGAAAAAGCAATGGTGGAGAATCAAATTTCCCTGGATTTGCCATTAAAAAGTTAACCATGTGGATTGGGGATATAGCTAATTTGGTAGAGTGCTTGTCTTGCATGCACTCAAACCCCAGCACCACCCACAAACACACATAAAGTTAACCATGTGAATCCGGGCACAATAGTACATACCTGTAATCCTAGCAAATTGGGAGGCTGAGGCAGAAGGATCACAAATTCAAGGCCATCCTCAGCAACTTAGTGAGACCCTGTCTCAAAATTAAAAATAAAAAGGGCTGTGGATGCAGCTCAGTAGTAGAGCACCTGTATTCTCCAAAGGGGAGAGAGAAGAGGGCAGGATTGATTTCAGCTCATTGCTATAAATCCTAAGAATGATATCCCTGTTTTTGGTAGAAATTCTTTTAGAAGAGATCCAAGAATCTCAGAGACCCTTCTTGCATGCAATGAAACCCTCATCTCTAAGCTTGCACTCATACAAAGCAGGAAACACAGATACAACAGGTCCCATTAAACATACCTTCAAGTCCCATTTTTTAAATAATAGCATAACTCATTCACTCAGAGTCAAAATTTATCATTGATTTTTTTTTTTTTTTGGTACTGGGAATTGAACCCAGGGGCACTTAATCACTTAGCCACATCTCCAGCCCTTTTAAATATTTTATTTAGAGACAGGGCCTTGCTAAATTGCTTAGGGCCTAAATTGCTGAGCCTACTTTGAACTTCCAATCCTCCTGCCTCAGCTCCCCAAGCCGCTGGGATTACAGGTTTGTGCCACTGCACCTGGTTTATCATTGAATCTTAATATTCTCTTATATACTTAGACATTTTTCTTAAAGCTCTATTATTTCTTTCTTGTTTTGAATAATTTTTTCATTGGGGGATGCAAATATAATGGCTAAGAGCATGTATTGTAAACTACACTGTCATATTTGACATCTCAGTCTACTACTAATTGCCAAAAGTTATTTCACCTTTCTTTACCTGTTTCCTTATCTGGGAACAGTAATAGTGTAAATCTCTTAGAATCTGTCGTATAGTTAAACACTTGATAACTTTTAGCCATTATTAATATTCTTTCCTCCAGTCCCACTGCACCCCCATAGGTTTTTTCTTACATTCATTCTTGATTTCTTTACCTTTTCAACAATTTGATCACTTATTTTGTGTCAGTAGCCTCTTATTCATTACATATCATGGCTAGATAATTTTAACATACAACTTTGAACAAGTAACCCTTAAGTTTAAAAAAATCTTCAGTGTTACCCCAATATATACCCCATTGCCTTCATGAAGTGCTTTACCAAGAAGGAGAAGATAGTCAGAGCTCTCTCTCCTAGTGGGGAGAGGAATGTCATGGACATGGTTTAAAATTGGTGCATGGTAATAATAAAAGCAGACCAGCTGGGCATGGTGATGCACGCCTGTAATCCTAGAAGCTCAGGAGGCTGAGACAGGAGGATCTCTAAATAAAATACCATACAGGGTTGGGGATGTGGCTCAGTGGTTAAATGCCCCTTAGTTCAATCCCCAGTACCCCCACCCACAAAAAGCTGACCAACTCAGCCTATTTTATTATTGTTTTAAAATTTAAAATTCTGTATAGTCAATACATCTTGATTATAGCCTGTATGCAGTGCAGATTGCATACTTTCTATGTTATATTACTGCTTTTTATACTTAAGCCCAAATTCCTTTTTACTCCCCAAGATTTTTGGCCTGGCTTTTATAATAGGGTTCATCTTATAGTACTTCTGAAAAGATGCCTCATGCTCCAGGATCACTGACCTTATATTAACCATTCACTGCACTGCCTTACCAGAGCTTGCCCCCAGCTGATTGGGTTGCTTTTTGTCTTCTTCATCACTCATATGAAACTTACCCTTCTATTTTAATGCCTTAACACTAGACCAGAGGTTATTATATCTATCCTTGGAACTTACACTACACTACACTATCTTTGTCACATTGTGTGTGAGCTTTTAATTATGAATTAATTTTCCCTATATGTTTTGTTCTTCAATTCACATAATAAGTTGATGGAGGTTTGGGGTTGTGTCATATGAAATTAGCTCAATAGGAGCTTGTTCAATGATAATAAAAGGTAATGCTTTTGAAATAGGAAAATTCCTATACCTTGTGTGTTCTAGCAATGATCCCAATTGCCACAGGGTGTCACTGCTTTACAATTCAAATTTTCTTCATTTAGATGTAGTGAAGATAGGAATTCTCAAGGGAAATTCTTGAGAGATCACAAAAATATGTATAGGTAACAATGAGGCAGTTTGAAGGAGTGGAGATGTACAAAATTATATAGAATAAAAAGTGAAAATCACGTTTACATATTTTCTATACCCTTTGAAATTTCATTCTCTTTCCTGCTCTAAATACTTTCTGTATAGCTTTCCACATATTTTCCCTTTGTCTGGTGTGTGTGTGTGGGAGGGGGTTATTCAGTAGCTTTTTCTTTTCATTTGATAATATTTCATTGGTCATCTTTTGGTCTCAATACATATAGCTCTATTTCATTTTTCTTAGTTGCTGACAAAATTCTGCATATTGAAATGATTAGTAATTAACAATTTCAATCATCAAAATGATTGCCTGGGTATAGTCCAAAGCTGTGAGTTAGGATGGATGCATTCTGTTGTCCATTATATGAAAGCTATAAAGTTAATTAGTAAACACTTGGGGGAGTTAGTAGATTGTAAGCAGTAAATTGAAAAACAGTATGTGCATATCGGATTTCCACCAAAATTTAAAGTAGCAAAAATGCAAATGCCCTGGAAAATTTATGAGGAGAAATAGAAAGGAAGGAGAAGCATTGAAAAACAGAATTTTAAAACAATGTGTTCATGTTATCACTTGTTTCTGATTATAAAATAATACATGCTCATTGTAGCAAATAGGACAGCAAAATACATTCAGAAGGAAGCAAATATTACCATAATCACAAAACCCAGACTTAACCACAGTGAGTATGTATTTGTACTCACATAGCTCCTTCACATTTTTATTTTAAATTTTTTATAAGATATACCATGATTTTAAAACATTCCGACAGTACAAAAAGATATTTTAAAAAAGAAAAAAATACTCTTCCCACCAGCTCTCATCCTCACTGTTAACAATTTCTTTAATAATTTACATTTAATTGTATTGGTGTTAGTATTGCAGTTATTCTGAGTATACAAATGTGTATGTAGCGTGTGACCTATACATATAATGGAGACATAACTATGTTAATGTTTTATACTTTTTTTTTTCATTTGGCTTTCTATCCTGAGCACATTATATATATATATATATATATATATATATATATATATATATATATATATCCCAAATGCAACCAAAAGACTCTAAACATAGAGGTATTTCAGGAATTTTCACCGGAGCCCTCTCCCCATACCATTTGATGCATTAGAAATTCATTTCTAACCATACACAAAAGAAGACCTGTAGCTTTAGCTGAGGGCCCTTTCTACTGAGTTACTGATTCATAGAGTCTTCTTGAGTTCTTGAGTATGGCTCTATTTTGGACTGTTCAGTGGGAGGTAATAGAGAGAAGATGTGGTTACTATCATATAGTACAGTGGAAAGTATCAATAAAGATCTAGTTTGGGTCCCAGTTTTAGTATTTAGTATCTATCATTAAAAGAAAAAATGTTTTAAACAACACTCCCATTTACAGATGAGAAAACAGAGACTCAACCAGGGAATGGTGATTTTTTAAGCTCACACAGCTAATGTAGTAGAGCCAGGATTCAAAAAAGGGTCTTATTGAGTCAGAGGCTATATGCTTTCCACCCTACCATCTTGACCTTGTTTTATGATTTCTGTAAATAAAAATATATTGTATTGTTGAAAATTGATGGCAATAAATTTTAAGGGTTCTCATTACAAAAAAATGTATGTGAGGTAATGCAATCAGCCAATCCACAATTGATACATATTTCAAAACATCATGTTATACGTGATAAGTATAGGTGTTTGTTGAATTAATTAATTAAAAAGGTGAACCAGAGCATGCCTTCAAAGTGATTGTCTTGCCTTTTGACTAAAGTTTTGATTTAAAAAAATATGGATTCTGTTATCTTTCTAGGAGCCAAGCATCTCTTTGATTCCCATTGTTTTGGCAAATTCCCTTTGTAGGAGAGAAGCCTTATAAATGCACCTGGGATGGCTGCTCCTGGAAGTTTGCTCGCTCAGATGAGCTCACCCGCCATTTCCGGAAGCACACAGGCATCAAGCCCTTCAGGTGTACAGACTGCAACCGAAGCTTTTCTCGCTCTGACCACCTGTCCCTGCACCGCCGGCGCCACGATACCATGTGAACTCCATATGCCACACTAGAGGAGCTGCACTGGTCTCTTTCCTGTGTGTGTGCTGAGGTCAAGACCATATCTTCCTCTTTGACTTCAACTTGCCTCTGGGATGGGGTTGGAGGATCCTACTGAGCCAGGTTGTGGAGACTGGAGAAAAAAATAGCTAGTCTCCCATGGGGCTCTTCATATTCCACCTTCACCTCTCCACTATCCAGACTTCAGTTTTTTCAACCTCCGCATGGGTTGAATTCCAGTGCGGCACCCATGGCTGCCCCTGCCCCAACACCCCTTCCCTGAAATAGACATTTTTCCTACAATTACAAAACAGGAATCAAACTCAAGGCTGTGAACAAACATACGCTGCTTTTTCCCTCTATTTTTCTCTTGTTTTCTATAACTTTTATCCATATCCATATATATGTACATATATGTGTGTATATATGTATATGTACACACGTATGTATTTTTAATCAGTACTTAAAGGCAGTTGATGGGGTCTTAAAATGACTTTTCTCAAGTTCCTAGATGAAGGAGGCATAACAATATAGTGGACTTGTAAGATTTACAGGAATTTTGGTCCTAAGTATAGGGCATCTTCTCAGTGAATAAGGTGAATTTCACACCAAACTTAAAAGTTTTATAAATCCAATTGAATTTCTTCTTACAGTTTGGTTTTCAGACAGTCCTGGTGCTTCTTAAGTCCATCAAAAGGAATGAAAGGATCTTCTTGTCCTCTCCTCTTTCTCCTCCTGCTCCTTTAAGATTCAAGATTTTGTGGCACAGTTACATTCTTTGTTAGGTTAGATTTGGACAAACATTCAAAGCACAGTTCAGTTCAGTTCAGTAGGGAGAAAAGTGTTCCAGGAAAATATGTTGGGCAGTGACAGGAACAAGCAAACCTGGGGCAAACCTGAGAACAAATAAGGGTGACTTTAATTTGGATAAAATATTAAAAGTGCTGTTAATCACAAACCTCATTCAAATGCCAGCCTGTTGAGACAGTGTCTTGAGGGGCTTCACTGTACTGTTTATTCTTTTGTTTACATAAAGCAACTATTCAGTATAATACATGATGAGAAATCACACATTGAGGCCATGTTATACAGAGGTGAGAGGTTGAAAGAAAGGAATTATGTTCACTTCATAGCATTACTGGCATTCATTCCTGTGTTTTGAATGGAATATAAGGGGCTTTTGTGAAAACTGACATACAAAAAGCAATTTGATGTTTTATAACTGCATGACCACCTAAGCCATTTCTTTTAGCCATTACAGCAGGTTGCAAAATTCACATTTGGTTGCCCAATCAGTCTGTTTCATGATATTATCTGGGGCATGAAATCCCCTGTTCCTGGCCCTGGACCTCAGATCTACCTCCACATAGCATATTTCCTCTCCCAGAATGAGGGGAAGGGGGCTTTGTATCAATTGGATTGGTCTCAGCCTCTCTCTTAAAGATTATCTTCATATTGAACCCCTTTTCCTTGGCAGATATTCAACCAGTCCCTGCTTGAATACTTTAGGTTACTACCTCCTGAGGCTGTTCATTCTAAGTCAGATTTCTAGCATCAAGAAGGGATCCTTTTAGCTGTCTAGTCCTACCCATCCCTAGTATTTTACAGATAAGACAAATACGGGTCAGATTTTTTTCTCCAGATGTTTCCTTGAGGCCTTATAGACCTGCACACTCATTCTTCCAGGGATCACATTATTAAACCAAATTAAAGACAATTTTTCGTGGTTGGTTGCAATATTTGTCCAATTTTATATGTTATACTTAAAAAAATCTTTACACCACCCAAAAATAATTTATAGTTGATGACGTAGTAAAATGTGCTTGTGGTCATTGCCATATAACATTAGGCTCACAGTTTTTCTATTGTAGCACTTTTATAGTATCTAGATTTTATTTACCTCATTTCAACTTGCAATGTCTTTCTAGACCATAAACTCTCCATAAATTTAAGACTGCTTGTATTTTTCAAAATGACATGTAGGTTTTTACTATTATCATTCTTATTTTGATATGGGCTTTTTCCTGACTTTTGGTGTGCAAGTTCCAAACTGTATATTAATTACTAAAGCACTAGGAAATATCTAGAGCCAGTATGTTCATGGAGACATCTCTGTAGCTGTAAAACAGGTTGGCAAAGGTAGATTATCATCATACATAGATTTAAGCTTATGATTGAGTAGTTGGTACAGTATTTCACAATAGAGCCCAAGGGCATATTCATTTTCTCCACAGTTTGGATCCTAGGACTCCTTTTCCAGAGTTCAGACCTGATATATACCCTTCAGACCTCAGGATCATTTGCATTGGGACATTTGGTTTATTTCTAAGTAAAAGCTATCAAACATACTGTTACACTAATTAGGATGACCAAATTATGATCCCAAATATTGGTGTCCCTGACATCCCTAAGACTTTATTCTAAAATTTTTCTTAAAGTAATGAGAGAATTTGTTAATTGTCTTTACTCAAGAAGCATTTTTAACCCTATTCTCATTGCCCTGTCTTCTCAATAAAATAAAATCTTTCCAATTACATAAGCTTTAAGAAATGTGTCAAGATTCATAAAAGGAATTTTCATAGAATACATGTATTCAAATACACTACACAGCAGAGTTACTGCACCAGAAGCACATAAAACTTTGCTAGGTAGAAATCAAGGTGGAAAAGGAACTAAAATGTATCTCTCCTGGGTAGCATTTGGGGTTTAATTGAATTTGATGTGCTTATACCAGCTAAGCACTGTTAGTGTGACAGTTGCCTAGGATATAGAAATGACTTTATCTAATAATTGAATAATATCATGGAATTTGTTACAGTGGAATTCCTTCATCTGTATAAGATTGGCAGTTAAACATAACTTGATAATTAAGACTATAAAATATGGGGGAAATATGAGGAATGTGAACTGGTTGGATAGATTAGGTGAAGTGTGTTATGGGTAAAAAATAATAAAAGTTTATCATAGAAACTTTTTAAAATAAACTTTCCATTTTGGAACATTTTCAGATTTACCAAAAAATTGTGAAGATAGTAGAATTCCCTATACTACACATCTAATTTCCTCATTACTAACATCTTACATTAGTAGTGTACATTTTCTACAACTATGAAAAAATATCAATACATTAATATTAACTGAAGTTTATACTTTATTCAGATTTCTTTAGTTTTGACCTCGTATCCTCTTTCTGTTTCAGTATCCCATTCAGAATACCATATTACATTTAATAATCATATCTCCTCAAGTTCCTCTTGGTGTGACAGTTTCTCAGATTTACCTTTCAAGGTCATTTTTAATGGCCTTAGCAGTTTTGAAGAGTATGTTCTTCAGTTGGGATTTGTCTGATGTTTTTCTCATGAAGAGATGGGCATAATGGGTTTGGGCGAGGAAGATCACAAAGGTGAAGTGCTATTTTCATCACATGGTACTTACATGACTTATGACTTTTGATGTCAACCTCGATGAACTGGCTGAGATTGATTGTATTTATCAGGTTTCTCCCATATACTCTTATTCCTCCCTTCCATACTTTACTTTTTGGAAGGAAGTCACTATGTGCAGCCCGTACTAGAGAGTATTAGTTATGTACCACATCCTTTAGAGCAAGTATCTATATAAATTATTTAGAACTTTTCTGCATGGGTGATTTATCTTCATTTATTTATTTATACAATCATTTATTTATATCAGCATGGACTCAGATATTTATCTTATACTTTTATGTAGTAATCCAATGCTAGTTTATTTATTTTGTAACTCAAATTGTTCTGACTTTGGCCATTGGGAGGTCTTTTGGGCTGACTCCCAAGTCCTTTTGACATATGCCCATCACTTTTTTAGAATGTCCTTACTTTCTGGCACTGCAAGATGTTCCATTCTCATTTTGCATATTTTCAGGCCCACTACTATAATCAGCCGTTTCATCAAGGAATCCTGGTTACTTTTACTATAGAATTGTATTAGAAACCTAGATCTGGGCATTAAGTATGCTTGTTGCTACTAGAGTGCTATTGCTTTGAGGCCTTCTCAGCTGACAGAGCAAGGAAATATATGTGTGTATACTAACCTATGTATATACACATCTATAAATATTTCTGGATGTAATTATCCATATCTGTTTAGCTATACATGAGTTCATATTGATGTTGCAACCCTAATCCATTACTACATGAATTAGTCTAGCTTTTTGCCCCTTACTTATCTGTAGCCTTTCATTCCAACAGTGAAAAACATGATTCCCAACTTCTGCCCTCTATTTACTTAATTATTCAATTCCACTATACACACATATAACATTATCTGAATCCTTAACCTGGACACCAATGAGAAAGAATTTTATCACTAAAACCCAGTGCTTATGTACATAATAATAACATTTTTGGCATTCCAATAATTCTTTAAAACAAAGTAGTCTACAACATTCTGGAGTTAGAGATTTCTGTGATCTGAATTCTAAGAATCTGGGGTCTCTCCTGTCCCCAGAAAGTTTTCTAATGTACTTTAGTAAAAGAAATTCCATTGGAAATTGACCTAACCTTGAATAAACCAAGGGAATTTATTTATCTTTCATAGTGTGCTAATCCCTGATGAGGTACTATAGACAGATGGACACAAAAGAAACTGGGTGGGCCCAATTTAAAGAAACTGCACTATCTTTTCTCACAGCTAAATATGGCTCTCTGATAATGAGGTGCTACCCTAAGTTGCCTCTCTTCCATATTTTTCCCAGTCTCTTACATAGTTGACCTTAGGCAAGTCACATCACCTCTGTGCCTCAGTTAACCCATCTGCAAAATGGGAATCCAAGTATCTACCTCACAGGAATGTTGTGAGGCTTCTTCTTAATAGATGTTGGCAAAAATCATGAGAGATCTCTAAATGAACAACTAAGTATTATAAACATTACTATAATGATAATTATCGTACCCTATATTTACCCTATGAAAAGGAGAGGATTAGGCCTCCTAGGTGATAAAGAGCTAAATTTGATTCAGTAAGAAAGATAATTGAAGAGTGGCCACTAGAAGCAATATTATTTCTTGTTCTCACTTTCCCTATATTTTCTTGGTTACTAACTATAGGATTACCAAGTGTTTCTAGACTTGAAACATAATAGATATAATAGGTATATTCCATTATTTCAAAGCTATATTTTCCTCTTTCTTACTCTGCCTGGACTATATTACATGACACCCTGTCAGAAGCACAAAGGCAGTTTCTTAAAACCTTTCCTTCAGTCTTTGATCAGTTCATATTCATTAATTACATTTTCTCCACTTACTGTACTGTAAACAGTAAAGGTAGGAGGGATGAGGGGGTGGGATGGTTAGGGTGGGAATGGGCAGGGAAAAGATGAAATTCATATCAGTGGCAGGATATTTGTTTTTCAAACACTGGTTTCACTTTCTGTGGTGGGCTGGGGTCAGGGGAAGAGATATTATTTTGTTAACTGTTAAACTCTCCTTCACTTCCATAGATGTTTCCTAGGGTCACTACAAGTAGCTTTGTTGGACATTACTTTATAACTATGTTGTATGCAGTGCTGTTTTCATTGTATTCCTGAAAAAAAGGTGAAGAGAGTCCCTAGTGGTGTTTATCACTGTTTTTTCACAGGAAGTCACAGCTGGAGAGCAGTGCCAGAAACTGACTCATTTTTGTGTTGGGGAAAGGAGCCTGCAGTGAAGGGATTGATTGAACTTTTGTCATTGTTAACTTGTTTAAAGAAATTATAAAACAGTATATTAAGCTTTAACTTTTGTGTTTTTGTCTCTTTATTATAGTGTTTTAGAGCAACACCCTGTTTTTCCTCTATTTTATACTAGTTCCTGCTCCAGAAGCATGGCTTTGAGCAATCTCTCATGTACAAGTTTGTCATGGACCTCAAGATCCTCAAGAATTGCTTCAGTTAGCATGGCCACTTAAAGGTTACTTTGTTCTAGTTCCATGGGACTCTCCAGTTGTGACATCCAGGCAGGGTGTGTGCTTGGGTACTAAGCAATCTTGTTTAGTTCTATTATTGTACTTTTTTATTAATAAAAATATTTTAAACTTCAGAATTCATGGCTATTATCTTGAATTTGTCTCCAAATAGTGTTTCTTCAACATGGGGTGATTAAATTATTTTCTTTCCCTCTAGCTGAGTAAAGTTCTGATGAAACTACTGTTTAATATCATGGGGCAACAAAGGAAATCAGACTGACTCAAACACAATAAATTATCTGTTTAAGCCCATGAGGCCCAACACATTCTTGGTAATATATTTAACCATGTCCATGAATGGGGCTCCATGAAGACTGTATGCTATTTTCTGGTATAATTCCTGTATGGGATTCCACAAGAGTTTATAGAATACAGGGATATGTGCTCAGTTGATTAGGTTTCTCTACCCAGCCCTGTTCTCACCATTTTGTGTTTTTTCCTAGGAAGAAGGATAAGAGAATATTGGGAAAATGTAAACTCTAAAGATATCTTAATACAGCTATCAGCTTTGTGTAGGGATATGGGAAGTTGGCTCATTGGAAGGTTTTGTCTTTCAGAGAAACACTGGGAGAAAAAGAAAAAAGGGAATTCTGTGAAGGAAATCAAGGCCAAATTGGAAGGAACGATTGAAGTGATGGTTTCCAGAGAATGGGATTTTCACTGCAAATGATAAAAATAATGAACATCAGATTTTGTGGATTTTTTCAGAAATATTTCTTTTGTTAAAATAAAAGGAATATTATGATGAAAGCAACATTAAAAGAACTTTTAAAAATGGAGTTGAGGGGACCATTAAGAAAGCAAGACTTATGCACAATTTAAACTGCTGCCTAGGAACATGAACCTTGGTCTCTTCCCTACTTTGACCACAGGCATCTAGAATGACAAGAAGAAGTGAACAATTATATTGTACCCAGTGGCACAAGATATATATCAAAAAGTTACCACACTATTATGGAGATCTCCATTCTGTGTGTAAATTATTTTATTTATCTTCTATCAGTCATGTAGCTCCTGTTCCTTCTCAATATCCAATAACACATAGAAGCTCCCACTTTTATTGCTTTCCTTGGAACTCTCATTCAGAGCTATGTGATATTTGTCTCCCAAATTTCAATTTCTGTGAGACCAAATAAAGTCTTTTTACTTTCACAGTTTCTGAGTTTGCATTGATTGTCATTATATTGTGTCAAGAGTGGGATCAAAAGTGACTCATCTCTACCTCCAATGCTGTCAGACGTGAGTAAAGAAGCCCTTTTATGCTTCACCATCTCTCTGGCAGCTTCTGGTCGTAGGAGTAAATGGTTTCAGTTTCAGTCAGAGGGGTAAGTTATTTCAGTCTCTGAACCTTCTGTTTCTTTGGTTGAGGTTCCAAAATTTTATCTGGGTATTCTTCATTGTTGGATGCCTGGGAGGGAAATCCTTTATTTAGGTGTTTAGGAGGAACATTCTCCATTTGGATGGGCATTCAAATTTTTAAGAAGAGCAAATAAAGCATGTATCTACAGTTAAATGAATAATGATAGCATAGACCTACATGTATTCATTAAGA